ACCGCTCTTACATACCCCTCAAAAAAACCCCTTATAACTTTCCACTCACTATAGAAGCACTCGACATTGATGAGGAGAATGAAACTATAGTGGGTGACGACCTAGGCCTTCTTCATGGTCCACGTGCTCTCCTCATATTGAACTTTTCTTCTCTAATTAATTTCTAATTTTTCATTCATCAGAAGAAGATTTGACAAGAAAAAAAAAAAGGAAAGAGAAGATGGATGCGGTGGTCGGTCTAAGCAGAAAAGGTTAACGTCGTTAATTTTCAAATAAAAATACAAAATTTATTAATCTGATGTGGTATAATATGAACTATTAGATTATTAGAGTGGACCAGATTTTATGAAATGCACCAAAATATATGATAACTAAATATAGAGGCTCGGGATCTCTAACGGGAGTTAAGCTAGTTGATCAGAACAGTGTACCCGTCCCCTTTCACTTAAGTTCAAGTCTTCTTTCTATAAATTAAATTAATTTAGAATAATTTAGACTATCATTTAGATAAAAGAAAAAAGGAAAATAAGAATGTGAAAGAAAAAACTTGTTGCCTTGAAAAACTTGAGCCTACCAAGTCTGATGCAATGAAATGAGTAATTGATACATTAGTCCACGTTGCTCGTGTGAATGGTTTATTAATAACCATGGACTCATCATGTACACGTTTTCAGTCCACCAGTCTTTTCCAACTAACAGTCTATGTCATGAATTACTTATACCATATCTAGAAACTTCTTTCTCACAAAATAACAACTATAAAATTATACAAAATAACAACTATAAAATTATATTGAGTACAAAGCTTAGGGTGTTAAGCATTTTCCAAGCCTATATAAAACCGTCCAATCTCAACCTTATATATCTATCTTAACTTATTGCAACCAAGTGTTCCGAAAGAAAATGGCTTTCCGAAGAAATCCGCCGCCACCTCCACCACCTGATCCATTTGCACCACCGCCTCCTCCACCTCCACACCGTGGCCATCCGCCTCCACCACCACCGCGGCCTGAATTCTATCCTCCACCTCCACCGCCACCTTATTATCCACCTGGTCCTCCACCCCCACCTTACGCGCCAGGCCCTCCACCGCCTGGTCCTCCTCCACCACCCTACTCAGACCCCTACAGGCCACCACCCCCTTGGGGTCCTCCTCCTCCTCCTCCACGCTACTGAATACTAATTAATATACCCCCATCTGGTCTCCGTACGCACGTTGGATGCAGTAGCAACAACAACTGATCAAGGCTATACTACTTCAAGAGAAAGAGGAATAAAAGGTTCATGTATTTTATTAGCTACCATCATGTAGTTCATGTTTTCAGACCCTGCTTTTTATTTATTTATTTATTTTTCATGTTATCAATAATTATGTAAATAGCAAGGTTGATTAGTATATAAGGATCCCGTCCCGTGTATTTGAGATCATTAATTATATGTCGCAAGGTTTTGATTGTGTATTTCTTCCAAGAGCTTGCAATTACCATAATTTTTTTGTTTGTCCTCTCGATCTTCTCATTCTATTTCTCCATATCTTTCTCTCACCGATTCTCTCCTCACAACAGAACAACATAAATCACCAGCTACCCTAGGTGGCCAAGAGAGAGTGAGATAAAGAAAATGAGAAAGAGATAGACTCCAACAGTGGTGGTGGTGAATGGGGAAAGGCTGGCCAGGGGTGTTGGGCTTTTTTAATTTTATTTCAACAAACTATAGGACCCATTAACATTAATCACATTTGTCCATCAGTGTTGATGAGGCCCGTGGACCCATCCACGTATGGAGTTTTATCTCAAAAGCAGGGCTGCATTTGGCATGAGCAAAGTGGGCAACCGTAGGGCCTATTTTGAAAGGAGCCCCACATTAAATATTCATTTATATTAATACGTTGTTGTAGCTTAGTAATGATAATAATTTAATGGGTAATTTTCATTTTTTACTACGGTAAAATTTACCGACATTTAGAGTTTAAGACATCATATTTTTTTTTTTGGTCTCAGTTCCATACACAAAATTGATTTTCTTACAATTTTCATACATATCGTCATTCTTTTTGTTACCAAGTATGTTAATTGTTGGTGTGTCAACAAATGTGCCACGTAAATCCACTCATATGATACCACGTGGTCGACATATATTATTAAATAAATAAATAAAATTTAATTAATTAATTAATTAAAGGAACTTAATCCTTGCTCTCCCATCGAACACAGAACCATAACCAACCATTCTCAAAACATTGAAAAAACTTATTTCCCCATGACCGCCCACAAAACCCCCCATTCTCCTCTTCCCACCCCCCAGAAGCTAGAGCCCAACCCAGCCCACAACCCACCCCCAACCCCCAACCCCCACGGAACCCAAAACCCACCTA